GCTGCTGCGGGGGTGGGGGGGGGGCACCTCAGGGCAGGGTGGGGGGGGGGGAGCTGCCGCAGGGCTCCCACCCTAGCTCACCTCTGCTACACACCCTCCCCGAGCATGCCGTCGCTGCTCCACTTCTCCCACCTCCCAGGCTTGCGGCGCCAATCAGCTGTTTGGTGCCGCAAGCCTGGGAGGGGAGGAGAATTAGAGCGGGGCGGCATGCTCGGGGAGGAGGCGGAGCAGAGGTGAGCTGGGGTGGGGAGCTGCCGCACGGCTAGTGCCTCAGGGCAGGGGGGGTGGGGAGCTGCTGCAGGGCTGGGGGGGCGGGGGCACGCGCAAGGTGGACTTTTCGCCTAGGGCGCAAAACTTCCTTGCACCGGTCCTGAGCACAGGAGGGTTCAATTGCTTGGCAATAAGCTAAAGGTCCCTTTTACCGCTTGGTTACTTGTTTAAATATAAACCAAGTAGTTTGTGGCCAACAGCTCTTGCCACATGATGGATATTTGCCACCTCCTGAGAGATGCAGTCCCCGTGAACTGCAGTTGCTCAGCACAAGGCTCTTGGGGGCTATACTCCAGTCCCTGAGTGGCTGTGCATTCAGACTACAAACATATCACCACAAATGTAGCAGTCTTATTAGTAGAGACCCCGACTGCTGAATGACTCGAGGGTCTCAGACAACACAGCAATGGAGACACTATAAAAACCCAGATAGATGGGTTGACAGTCAGGAATGAACCTACATCACAAGTCCCCACAACATGTTGATCCACTAGACCACAGCTATCCCAACCTAAATTTCACATTAAGAAATCATCTCCCAAAACAACCCCAACATTAGAGATCATTGGAATTTTTCCTACTGGAAAAGGTAGTTTTGTCTGACATCGTACTATGGAAAGCGTCTGCTCAATTTCAACAAGAGAGTTATTTTCCAAAGGGAGGTGCTAAATGAGAAATCTAATTTCAAAATGTCGAGGGGGAAAAAAAAACCAACATTTTTTTTTCAATCAAAATGAATTCACATTTCAGATTTGAAACTTTTTTAATGCATGAAATGGTTTGATATTGTGACTCTTTGTTCCTATTTCCAACAGGAACTAGTTTTGAAGTGTAAAAGTTTCTCATTGGATGAATACTCCATTTCTGAAACAGTCCCACATAACATTATTGAGAAACATTTATATTAGTTCTATGCAGTGTAGTTACAGTCGTGTTGGTCCTACGATATTAGAGAGTCATGTTGTGGAGCAACAACATGTCTCTTGCATTAGTTCCCTAATTTTATATTATAGTAGTCCTGTAATTTTACATTTACAAACAGAGTAAGACATGGTCCCTGCCCTGACATGCTTACAGTCATGCGTGTTAACACTTTTGGGGGGGGGGCACTGATGCAAACCTAAAATATAGAGACACTGTTGCACTGGTGCAGTCTACTCTGCTTTAAAACCAGGATAAAAGACACTGGTATGAGCTCCTTTCTACACCGGTGTTAACTCATCCACTAGGCAGGGATCGGCAACCTATCAGAAGTGGTGTGCCGCGTCTTCATTAATTCACTCTGATTTAAGGTTTCTCGTGCCAGTCATACATTTTAATGTTTATAGAAGGTCTCTTTCTATAAGTCTGTAATCTATAACTAAACTATAGTTGTATGTAAAGTAAATAAGGTTTTTAAAATGTTTAAGAAGCTTCATTTAAAATTAAATTAAAATACAGAGCCCCCGGACCAGTGGCCAGAACCCGGGCAGTGTGAACGCCACTGAAAAATCAGCTCGCGTGCCACCTTCGGCACGTGTGCCATAGGTTACCTACCCCTGCTCTAGGGATTTGCACTGGCACAGCAAAGAGAAAAACAGGGTTTATTACAAATGCTGAATGTTTACCACTCACGCTCGGATTTTAAGGGGTCAATCGATACAACAGTGAATTTTAAAAAGTGATTTAAGATCAAGATACTTTTGAAAGACTCCTAAGCCACTTTGTGTTACTGTACAGAGCTACTCATTCATTTGAACAGCTGTTTTACTTCTAGAGAAGTTCAGGGAGAAAGGGGGAGGGGGACACAGATCTAAATTGTTTTCTCTGTTAAAGCAGCAAGACGTAATAAATTAAGGGTGATTTACATTAAAGTTGTGTGAAACCGATTTTACCGGAGACTGGTTCCCTTTTGAACACTGTAGCCCGGTTCCCTTTTGAACGCTGTAGCCCTTGTACAAAACCTGTAATTAGGTTTTTTCTTTGTTGAGCTGAACAACCTTTAGTTGCATTCCCTGGACTATAATGGTTCCCTCTACTGGCATAGCATGTTACATTTCAGTCATTTTCAAAGCTAAGGTTCTGTGTAGCCTAGTGGATGCAGTCTGGTGATATCAGAAGATTGTGGTTGGTTCCAAACCCTTTTGGGGTTATGTTTTCATTCAGAATTCCCCAATACCTGGTTTGAGGAAGGCAGGGAGTCTTATTGACAGTGATCGAGTCCTCAATTTAATTAGTGCTTCCTAAACAAAGGCTAATGGATTCCAACAGATATGACATTTCTTAGGTTGCATACAAATGCACAATGCGCTTTTGCAGGACAGGATGAGGCAAGTTAGCCCTAGAGACTCTCCTGTTTTCCTTGGCCATTTAAACCAGGTCTCTTTGGGCAGTTTAGCAGGGCTGATTTTAACAAGGACTTGGCTTTTCTGGTTCATGTTGAATGATGTCGATCAGATCACCTAAACGCTCAGCTTCTCGGGTCTCCAGTGACTCGGAGAGGAACCTCGCGGGCTCCCTCTGGGGTGGGCTGCCTCCTACTGGCTAGTCCGAGGGGGGGAAAGGCTTTTTAACACAAGAGTTTCTACTCCCAATTCATCAGCATGCTGGGGAAGCCACCAAAAGCAGCAATTTCTAAATGACCAGCGGGAGGGGAGATCATCCCTGATGTACAGCCACAGAAAGGCTGAAGTCACTTGTGCACGCGTTATAAAAGTCTGCGCTTCCCCACCGTAGTGGTTACAGTTACTGGGGAAAGTTTCCATTCAACGGGGCTCACATTTCACTGGGAGAGATAAGGGGGCTGCTACAGCCCTGCTGCTAAGTAGGGGACAAGGCAAAAGCCACTGGAAGAGACGGACTGGATCTGGATTTACTCACCGGCGGTTGGCGAATCCGCTGCCCGGAGACCCTGAGCTCTGCTCGGGGTAGTTGTGCTGTAGAGTTGAGGCTGGGAATTGATAGAGGAAACCGGTCCCTACAGTACATCCATAGAAGCAGCAGAACCAGAGCGAGAAAAGAGCCCGGTTCATCTTTACAGCTACAAATACTTTTGCTGACACCAAACTGCACCAAGAGGCTGCCTGGGAGTCACCGTGACATGCGACTAGACGAGAGGAGGGCCCGTGAGAGTTTGGGATTAGAGGGGCAGGAGCTCCCTGCAGGGCACCGATTGCTGTCTGCTCCTGGCTTTGAAAGGGAAGTCAAGTCCTCTCCGCAAGCTAAGCCCTGGCGGCTGCTCCCATAGCAAGGGGGACCCCCGTGTCCGGCGCTGGCTCTCTGAGCCCGGGGCGCACACGCAGCTCCGGATGCCTTTTCAAATTTGGTGAGGTTGGTTCAGTTCCGTCAAAGGGGGCGTGGGGTTTCTCCATTAACCCTTCGAAGACGTGGCCAGAGAGACCCCCACTGCTCCGGCGCTTCCCGTGTGAGAGACGGCTGCAGGGCTTCACACGTGCTGCGGATCACTGTGAAATTGAGCCTTACAAGGGAAAGAGAGAACAGATGGATCCACTTGCACCCAGAGGTGAAAGTAAGCCGGTACCAGCCGGTATGGAGGACCGGTAAGAAAAGGAGACTGGCTGAGGGAGGGAGAAGCCTGCCCCTTGCATAAGAAAGGTTTAAACTCAGCTGTTCCCTGCGCCCTGGGGGGTTAGGAGCAGTTTCTGGCATGCTTGTTAATTTCACTCACAGTTGCTGGGGGGAGGGGAAGGGTGTGTGTGACCATGGCAGGGGCAGTTCTTTTCTGCCCCCAGGATGAGGGGATCTCCTATACGCAAAAAATACAATCAAAAGCAGGAACCGTTTCCAAGTTCAAATCTATCCTATTCCCTCCCCAGCAGAGGATCATGGTTGGGATGTCCAAACTGCTTGCAGATCCTCTTTGAAATGTTTCAGAGTAGCAGCCGTGTTAGTCTGTATCCGCAAAAAGAAGAACAGGAGGACTTGTGGCACCTTAGAGACTAACAAATTTATTAGAGCATAAGCTTTCGTGGACTACAGCCCACTTCTTCGGATGCATATAGAATGGAACATATATTAAGGAGTATGTGTGTATATATATCTCCTCAATATATGTTCCATTCTATATGCATCCGAAGAAGTGGGCTGTAGTCCACGAAAGCTTATGCTCTAATAAATTTGTTAGTCTCTAAGGTGCCACAAGTCCTCCTGTTCTCCTCTTTGAAATGTTACTGTTTAAAAAAAAAAAAACACAGAAAACATGGAGAACATGGTGGGAAGATGTGTCATGATGATCAGGGTTTATTTTGGGCAAAGCAATTTTGCTAAAGCAACTAAAGATTCACAGGGAAAGCAAACAAACCCACACAGGGATTGGAGGGGAAAACTGGATATTCAGGGAAATTATTGTGCCTCCTTTGAAAGAAATAGTAGTTTTCATTCCACCCTCTTTATATATTGATTTAAACACCTGAAATGTCCTTAGGACATAGAGCGCAATCTCAGATCTCTTTTTGTTTTGTCCTGCCTGCAGAGTGCAGAGGCTGAAATTGACAAAACTTTCTCTAAATATCTTGTATATTTCATGAAGGCTATTCCAGTTGTCCTTCATTCACCCCTGCCTTCCCCTACTACTAGCCACCCACTGGTGTGCCCCCTGCACTCTTTTATGTGCCTGGAAGGGAGATTAAAAAATCCTTGATATCTGACTTGCTAGGAAATAGGGAGGATCTAGGGAAAGCGGGGCACTGATGGGCATGGTGCAATGCAGTCCCTTGCCCCCCTGGCTTCCTCCCTGGCTGGCTGGCTATGTTTTTTGCCTTGGTTACTTACTCCTTGGCAGACCCAGCCCAGCGGCATCTGCTGGCTCTCTGCAGGCAGCAGCAGCCCACAGGGGCTGGTTGCTGGGGTCGCTGTGGGTCGGCGGCAGGGTGCAGCTGCATTGTTTGTGACACATTCATACACATACATACTGTATGTATTACTATCCTGTGGGGAGAACGCTGGTGCCCTTTTGAGGGGTGGGGGGACAGGGGAGACAGTATTTCTGCTGCTCACACTTCAGGAACTTCTGTAAGAGGCAAGGTCTGGCTGGGCACTGCCAGCGCATCTGTGGGCAT